TTTGACAGGGATCTGGGCTAGGATAGCATAGGCTGTGGGAGTCTATGTATGCATGCGAAAAAGAACCCTATTACCTATATAGTGCACTTTTGACCAGAGCCCTATTTAGTGCGGTACTTTTGACCAGGGACCATACGGCCCTAGGGTACTATTTCAGACACAGACTCCCACACTTAACATGAAGACTTAATTCTAGAAAAATCTAGGGAGATGAAAGGCAAGCCGTTAGGTTTGGAAATCTCAACAGCCAATAGGAGACAACCACCTTACTGTCCTCTGCATTCACAGAAACTAAGCAATGAAAACCCACAGGCAACAGAATACTTAGTATGATCACTAGCAGGATTATTGGTACGACCTTAACTGACCTTTCTCACCTGTATCAGACACGAGTCATATTGCTGTATATATTGTTTGTGTGTATATTTATTGTCATGTGTACATTATGTTTTTCTACTATGTGCTGCTAAATGAATTGCCCCCCGCGGATAATAAAGACTCCACTCTACTTATCTGTACGAGAGGTGTTTATAGAAATGACCTATATATCATGTATTCATATTCTGTATTTTCTGCATTCAAATGGATTCAGCACATTTTTCATCATTCACTGTTTCAACCTTATATCAGACTGGAAGCAGTTTCCCTCCATCTCCTCCCTGCTTGCATGATTCCTCGCCACTTACCCAATTCATACAGTGGGGAAAAAAAGTATTTAGTCAGCCACCAATTGTGCAAGTTCTCCCACTTAAAAAGATGAGAGAGGCCTGTAAATTTCATCATAGGTACATGTCAACTATGACAGACAAAATGAGGAAAAAAAATCCAGAAAATCACATTGTAGGATTTTTAATGAATTTATCTGCAAATTATATGGTGGAAAATAAGTATTTGGTCAATAACAAAAGTTTCTCAATACTTTGTTATATACCATTTGTTGGCAATGACACAGGTCAAACGTTTTCTGTAAGTCTTCACAAGGTTTTCACACACTGTTGCTGGTATTTTGGCCCATTCCTCCATGAAGATCTCCTCTAGAGCAGTGATGTTTTGGGGCTGTCGCTGGGCAACACGGACTTTCAACTCCCTCCAAAGATTTTCTATGGGGTTGAGATCTGGAGACTGGCTAGGCCACTCCAGGACCTTGAAATGCTTCTTACGAAGCCACTCCTTCGTTGCCCGGGCGGTGTGTTTGGGATCATTGTCATGCTGAAAGACCCAGCCACGTTTCATCTTCAATGCCCTTGCTGATGGAAGGAGGTTTTCACTCAAAATCTCACGATACATGGCCCCATTCATTATTTCCTTTACACGGATCAGTCTTCCTGGTCCCTTTGCAGAAAAACAGCCCCAAAGCATGATGTTTCCACCCCCATGCTTCACAGTAGGTATGGTGTTCTTTGGATGCAACTCAGCATTCTTTGTCCTCCAAACACAACGAGTTGAGTTTTTACCAAAAAGTTCTATTTTGGTTTCATCTGACCATATGACATTCTCCCAATCCTCTCCTGGATCATCCAAATGCACTCTAGCAAACTTCAGACGGGCCTGGACATGTACTGGCTTAAGCAGGGGGACACGTCTGGCACTGCAGGATTTGAGTCCCTGGCGGCGTAGTGTGTTACTGATGGTAGGCTTTGTTACTTTGGTCCCAGCTCTCTGCAGGTCATTCACTAGGTCCCCCCGTGTGGTTCTGGGATTTTTGCTCACCATTCTTGTGATCATTTTGACCCCACAGGGTGAGATCTTGCGTGGAGCCCCAGATCGAGGGAGATTATCAGTGGTCTTGTATGTCTTCCATTTCCTAATAATTGCTCCCACAGTTGATTTCTTCAAACCAAGCTGCTTACCTATTGCAGATTCAGTCTTCCCAGCCTGGTGCAGGTCTACAATTTTGTTTCTGGTGTCCTTTGACAGCTCTTTGGTCTTGGCCATAGTGGAGTTTGGAGTGTGACTGTTTGAGGTTGTGGACAGGTGTCTTTTATACTGATAACAAGTTCAAACAGGTGCCATTAATACAGGTAACGAGTGGAGGACAGAGGAGCCTCTTAAGGAAGAAGTTACAGGTCTGTGAGAGCCAGAAATCTTGCTTGTTTGTAGGTGACCAAATACTTATTTTCCACCATAATTTGCAAATAAATTCATTAAAAATCCTACAATGTGATTTTCTGGAATTTATTTTCTCAATTTGTCTGTCATAGTTGACGTGTACCTATGATGAAAATTACAGGCCTCTCATATTTTTAAGTGCGAGAACTTGCACAATTGGTGGCTGACTAAATACTTTTTTCCCCACTGTATATGTTGTCCAATTATTGGCAAAATAACTGATCTGATTGGTCAAAATACCAATTCTTGGCAAAATATCAGAATTAGGCTGCCTGTGTAAACACAGCTCATGGTCTGCTGACTGACGCTTCTCAGACTGTCTCAGAGAAATAAACCAATAGGACTCTTAAGGAGAACAATCCATACTTTATGTGTTTCCCCAGGACTCTTTTTGAAGCATGCCGTGTGTTTATGGAGCTAATTGAAAGCTTTGAAAAGTATTCCGTTTCAAGTTTATAAATGCTAATCATTATTGCCTCCTTTTAAGGCTGTGCATGTCAAGGTTTGTGAAAATGTGGGGAGGAGAAGAGAAGATGGATATGAACATCTAAAAATACATTTAAAATGATTGAAGATGAGTTTCAATGGAAAGTTAGGAAAGTACTCTGCAACTGCAATTCTCCTAATTTAAGATGGAGAATTGGAAGACAAACGAGAAAAGGGATTTTGTTGAAACCTTCCCTTTGGATTGAGTGTGAGGCGGGATATGGATGGTTTTATTCGTGAGCTTCCTGATAGCTGAGATTTTTCACTTGTCAGCTTAGGAAATGACTTTTTCTGTGAAAAATGAGTTGGCTCTCAGGTGAAGGGGACTCTGTAGATGTTCACTGTCAACATTACTTCAGGAAACCATCCGTATTATTATTTCAGTGAGTTGTGTTCTATATTTATTGTGAAATGGCCAGATTTAGGCAGGATATACATACACAAACAGCTGGTCAGTGGTCCCCAGTTCCCAAGCCTTCCGTTTGGTATAGGCCAATGTCTGGCCTATGTCTGAACTGCATTCTTCAGCATCGGCAAGATTTATTGTATGATTATCACATCTATTTGCATTTCATTGCCTTTGGTCAAAATATAGCCATGTTTTTTATAGCCATGCTTTCCTAAAGGTCAAAATAAGACCTTAAAAAAAAGCTATTCAAGTATGATATTGTCAAGTACTGTTTATAACCAAGCCTGAACCAGTCCTGCTCTGAATACATACAATCAGGTCTTCCTCCTTTTCCAAAACTACGGATCAATGTCAGTGACCAACTGCCTCTTTTTTTTTTCTTCATTAGAGCCATTTCGCTCTAAGCAGGCTGCTGAGCTTGGAAAGCCTTTACTTCTGCAGTATGAAACAGCAGAGGTTAATACAGAGCATCAGCAGTTAATAATCTTTCTAGTCTGCAGAGACAGCTGTGAAAATGTGGTTATTGCCACCCAATCATTATATCATTGCATAATTCACTAGAAATGCTATGAACAGTGAACGTTCTGTAAAAAGCTGGACTGGTATAAAAAACATCTTCAAAAACGAAAAAGGAGGAACAGGAAAAATGGGAATAAATAAAGGATAGAACAACAGTGTCGTAGTAAATCAGTTCTTGATAGCCTTCAGAGGTTGAAAACAACTGTCATTGATATCTAGATGAAGTGCTGCCATTTACTGTGGATGAATGATGATATTATCATTGTATGGAAAGGTTGCAGATGGAGTGAATACTCAACGACAACAACACAACAAGGTTATAATAGGTTGAAATGGGATTAATCACCTCCTACTCCACTATTGAATTCAATTGAACTTGATCATTAGGCATAATTCAAATTGAATAGGCTCTAGCATACATTACTTTCCACTTCAGTCTATTCTATACTCGAAGTACAGTACTTCTGTAAGGTTCTGTATTTATTTTCTTAGTTCACCTTTTGTTGTACGTAGCCCTGTTTCTTTGTGTTCTTGAACGTAGCCCTGTCTTTCATTTTTGTTCATTGATTTCACCTGTGTTAGTTACTCACCTGGTCTCATCAGCTCCTTATTTAGTTCAGTTCATTCTGTTTGTGCCTTGTGAGGTATTGTTCGTTTTGACTCGACTAAGCCTTTTCCTAGCTCGTTTGTGAGAACCAGTCCCATGCAGGCCTTCAGTCCTAGTTTTGTTTCACCTGCCTGTTTGCCTACCTGTGTATGACCATTGCCTGCCTGTGACCACGATTCCTACCTTCTGCGAAGGCGTAATAAACACCTGCCGCACTCTGCGCGTGAATCTACACCTTTTTCTCCCTGAGTATTCATTCCAGAATCCCTCACCTAAAACGGAATGGATTCAGCGGAACTACAGTGGAGCCTAACCCGGCAAGAGGAGCGTATGGAGGTAATCGGCCATCTTCTCCGACAGCCTATCCCTACTCCTCCGATGCCAGGTATCGTAACTAACCCTCCTTCATTCATATCCATGCCTGGAAAATATGACGGTTCACCTGGGAAATGTCAGGGATTTCTGATGCAATGCAGCAGATACATTGAGCACAACCCCACTAACTTCGCAACCGACAAGAGCAGGGTGGATTTTGTTGTGTCTCTACTCACAGGCAAAGCCCTGGATTGGGCCACCGCCATATGGACTGCCAACAGCACAGAACTCGGATCCGAGACCCATTTCCACACCCTCTTCAAAGAGGTATTCTATCACTCTCTTTCCGGTCGTCCTATAGGGGACCTCCTCATAGACCTTCAACAAGGACGCAATTCAGCTGCCGAGTATGCCCTCGAGTTCGGCACCATGGCTGCAGGGAGTGGATGGAGTGAGGCTGCTTTACTTACCGTCTACCGAAGAGGGCTCAACAGGGAACTTCAGGCGGAGCTGGCCTGTAGAGGTGACCATCAGGATTTAAATCAATACATTCGTATGTCCATCTCCATCGACCACCTCATCGCCGACCGCCGAAGAACTCTGCCACCCAGGAACCCGAAACCTTCTCTTTCCATGATTCCGTCATCCCGTCCGAGTCTTCCAGAGCCCATGCAGTTGGGCCATGCTCCTCTCCCGTGTATCGAACGTCAAAGGCGGATCCAAGAAGGGCTCTGCCTATACTGTGGAGGGAAAGATAATCTACTCAGCCATTGCCCTGTTCACCCCCACGGAGAGATAAGGGTCCCTCTGCTGCCATGCAGGTAGGCGGGAACATATTTCTAAATATATCCCAGAAGCAATTCTCCATCCCAGTATCGATAACCGTGAAGGGGGTTACGAAGTACGTAGAGGCCTTGATAGATTCGGGAGCAGCAGGTAGTTTTATCGATCACCAGCTAGTATAGTTTGAATGGCGCCGAAGAAGATGGCTGCCGTTTTACAGCCCTCTAACCAATTGTACTATTATGTGTGTTTATTCGAGTTATTTGTAATTTATTCTGTGCATAATGTTTCTGCCACCGTCTCTTATGACCAAAAAGAGCTTCTGGATATCAGGACAGCGATTACTCACCTCGTATTGGACGAACATTTTTTCTTTAACGAGTGGGACGCGAAGGATTTCCTACAGACACCCGACAAGGCCCAAATACCCGTCATTCGCATGAGAAAGAGACAGAGATATCGTGGACGTAGGTCGGGGTGCCTTGTAAGGATCCGACGGCGAGCGAGTAAACTGCCTCTTCCATCAATCCTATTAGCCAATGTTCAATCATGTGAAAATAAAATAGACGACCTAAGATTACGGTTATCCTACCAACGGGACATTAAAAACTGTAATATCTTATGTTTCACAGAGTCGTGGCTGAACGACAACATGGATAACATACAGCTAGCGTGATAAACGCTACATCAGCAGGATAGAACAGCTGACTCTGGTAAGACAAGGGGTGGCGGTCTGTGTATATTTGTAAACAACAGCTGGTGCATAAAATCTAATACTAAGGAAGTCTCAAGGTTTTGCTCGCCTGAGATAGAGTATCTTATGATAAGCTGTAGACCACACTATTTACCAAGAGAGTTTTCATCTATATTTTTCGTAGCTGTCTATTTACCACGACAAACCGATACAGGCACTAAGATTGCACTCAATGAGCTGTACAAGGCCATAAGTAAACAGGAAAACGCTCCTCCAGAGGCAGCGCTCCTAGTGGCCGGGGACTTTAATGCAGGGAAACTTAAGTCCGTTCGAACTAATATCTACAAGCATGTTAAATGTGTAACCAGAGGTAAAAAAACTCTAGACCACCTTTACTCCACACACAGAGACGCGTACATAGCTCTCCCTCACCCTCCATTTGGCAAATCTGACCATAACGCTATCCTCTAAAGCAGGAAGCACCAGTGACTCGGTTAATAAAAAAGTGGTCAGCCAACGCAGATGCTAACTGGAATATGTTCCGGGATAGCATTGAGGAGTACACCACATCAGTCACTGGCTTCATCAATAAGTGCATCGATGACGTCGTCCACACAGTGACCGTACGTACATACCCCAACCAGAAGCCATGGATTACAGGCAACATCTGCACTGAGCTAAAGGGTAGAGCAGCTGCTTTCAAGGAGCGGGACTCTAACCCGGACACATTTTAAGAAATCCCGCTATGCTTTCCGACGAACCATCAAACAGGCAAAGAGTCAATACAGGACTAAGATTGAATCGTACTACACCGGCTCTGACGTTTGTTGGATGTAGCAGGGCTTGAAAACTATTACAGACTACAAAGGGAAGCACAACCGCGAGCTGCCCAGTGACACAAGTCTACCAGACGAGCTAAATAACTTCTATGCTCGCTTCGAGGCAAGCAACACTGAAGCATGCATGAGAGCACCAGCTGTTTGTGATCAAGCTCTCTGTAGCTGATGTGAGTAAGACTTTTAAGCAGGTCAAAATTGAAAAGGCCGCAGGGCCAGACGGATTACCAGGATGTGTACTCCGAGCATGCCCTGACCAACTGGCAACTGTCTTCACTGACATTTTCAACATGTCCCTGACTGAGTCTGTAATACCAACATGTTTCAAGCAGACCACCATAGTCCCTGTGCCCAAGATCACTAAGATAACCTGCCTAAATGACTACTGACCCGTAGCACTCACATCTGTAGCCATGAAGTGCTTTGAAAGGCTGGTCATGGCTCACATCAACACCATTATCCAAGAAACCCTAGACCCACTCCAATTTGCATACCGCCTCAACAGATCCACAGATGATGCAATCTCTATTGCACTCCACACTGCCCTTTCTCACCTGGAAAAGAGGAACACCTACGTGAGAATGCTATTCATTGACTACAGCTCAGCGTTCAACACCATAGTGCCCTCAAAGCTCATCCAATTTGTAAGTCGCTCTGGATAAGAGCATCTGCTAAATGACTTAAATGTAAATGTAATCACTAAGCTAAGGACCCTGGGACTAAACACCTCCCTCTGCAACTGGATCCTGGACTTCCTGACGGGCCGCCCCCAGGTGGTAAGGGTAGGTAACAACACATCTGCCACGCTGATCCTCAACACGAGGGCTCCTCAGGGGTACATGCTCAGTCCCCTCCTGTACTCCCTGTTTACCCATGACTGCATGGCCAGGCACGACTCCAACACCATCATTAAGTTTGCTGATGACACAACAGTGGTAGGCCTGATCACCGACAATGATGAGACAGCCTATAGGGAGGAGGTCAGAGACCTGGCCGTGTGGTGCCAGGATAACAACCTCTCCCTCAACGTGATCAAGACAAATTAGATGATCGTGGACTGCTGGAAAAAAAAGAGGACTAAGCACGCCCCCATTCTCATTGACGGGGCTGTAGTGGAACAGGTTGAGAGCTTCAAGTTCCTTGGTGTCCACATCACCTACAAACTATCATGGTCCAAACACACCAAGACAGTCGTGAAGAGGGCACGACAAAGCCTATTCCCCCTCAGAAGACTGAAAAGATTTGGCATGGGTCCTCAGATCCTCAAAAAGTTATACAGCTGCACCAACGAGAGCATCCTGACTGGTTGCATCACCGCCTGGTATGGCAACTGCTCGGCCTCCGACCGCAAGGCACTGCAGAGGTTAGTGCGTACGGCCCAGTACATCACTGGGGCCAAGCTTCCTGCCATCCAGGACCTCAATACCAGGCGGTGTCAGAGGAAGGCCCTAAAAATTGTCAAAGACTCCAGACACCCTAGTCATAGCGTTTGGAACTAAAAATCTCCAATTTGTACTCATCAGACCAATAGACAGATTTCCATCGGTCTAATGTCCGTTGCTCGTGTTTCTTGGCCCAAGCAAGTCTCTTCTTCTTATTGGTGTCCTTTAGTAGTGGTTTCTTTGCAGCAATTTGACCATGAAGGCCTGATTCACGCAGTCTCCTCTGAACAGTTGATGTTGAGATGTGTCTGTTACTTGAACTCTGTGAAGCATTTATTTGGGCTGCAATATCTGAGGCTGATAACTCTAATGAACTTATCTTCCGCAGCAGAGGTACCTCTGGGTCTTCCTTTCCTGTGGCGGTCCTCATGAGAGCCAGTTTCATCACAGCGCTTGATGGGTTTTGCTACTGCACTTGAAGAAACTTTAAAAGTTCTTGAAATGTTCCAGATTGACTGACCTTCATGTCTTAAACTAATGATGGACTGTCGTTTGTCTTTGCTTATTTGAGCTGTTCTTTCCATAATTTGGACTTGGTCTTTTACCAAATAGGGCTATCTTCTGTATACCCATCCTACCTTGTCACAACACAACTGATTGGCTCAAACGCATTAAGAAGGAAAGGAATTCCACAAATTCACTTTTAACAAGGCACACCTGTTAATTGAAATGCATTCCAGGTGACTACCTCATGAAGCTGGTTGAGAGAATGCCAAGAGTGAGAAGCTGTCATCAAGGCAAAGGGTGGCTACTTTGAAGCATCTCAAATATAAAATAAATTTTGATTTGTTTAACACTTTTTTGGTAACTACGTGATTCCATATGTGTTATTTCATAGTTTTGATGTCTTCACTATTATTCTACAATGTAGAAAATAGTACAAATAAAGAAAAACCCTGGAATGAGTAGGTGTGTCCAAACCTTTGACTGGTACTGTATGTCATAACATAACTTGAATGGTCTGTCCGCAGCTCAACTATATCAATTGTAATCAGATAAAGGGCTTGGGAATTCCTACAAGCTCAGTAGTTCCTAGGGAGGACTAGGTGGTGCATATATACCTCATGACTTTCCCAGTTCAAGGTACCTAATTTGTCTCAGAGGAAAGTGACAGTGCGGTGAGAAATATCTCCCAGCAAAGAAATAGGATCATCCTTTTCTCAGCCTTTGCATCAATTCTCATTCTGGAGAGTTTCGGCGAGGGATTGAGTCACACACGCATGACCATGCAAGGAAGTCACATAACTTTCTGTTCCCCTGAGAGAGAGAAAATACATCTTGTTTGAGGAAAGTTCACAGAAGTCCATCAGTCTAGAGCTTATAGGACCTAGGCTGACATATCCCTGCTTTGGTTGAGCGGCTTCCTTCACTAACGACCCTGGAAACATACAGTAGAGGCTCAAACTCATGTAGCTAGTGGAGTTGCATGAGAAAACACATTGTCATGTCCAGCCAATGAGAGCAATACAACTTGCTGAAAAAAAAACTGTGTAGGCATGTCCCTTGATGTACTTAATCTACAAGGATCACAACAGAGCAGTAGTCACATATGACATACAGTACAAGTTAACTTACAGGTACTGCTAAATGGGTGCCTCTGTTATAGCCTATGTGTGCGTGTGTGTGTGTGTGTGTGTGTGTGTGTGTGTTTATTGACTATACTTGAATAGTTAACTAACTAAAATTGGACCAACTGGGGACATTTTGTTAGTCCCAACAAGGTCTAATGCTATTTCTAGGGGGTTTAGGTTTAAGGTTAGAATATACACTACCGTTCAAAAGTTTGGGGTCACTTAGAAATGTCCTTGTTTTCAAAAGAAAAGCAATTTTTTTGTCCATTAAAAGAACATCAAATTGATCAGAAATACAATGTAGACATTGTTAATGTTGTAAATGGCTATTGTAGCTGGAAACGGCTAATTTTTAATGGAATATCTACATAGGCGTACAGAGGCCCATTATCAGCAACCATCAGTCCTGTGTTCCAATGGCACGTTGTGTTTGCTAATCCAAGTTTATCATTTTAAAAGGCTAATTGATCATTAGAAAACCTTTTTGCAATTATGTTAGCACAGCTGAGAACTGTTGTGCTGATTAAAGAAGCAATAAAACTGGCCTTCTTGAGACTAGTTGAGTATCTGGAGCATCAGCAATTGTGGGTTCGATTACAGGCTCAAAATGGCCAGAAACAAATAACTTTCTTCTGAAACTCGTTAGTCTATTCCTGTTCTGAGAAATGAAGGCTATTCCATGCGAGAAATTGCCAAGAAACTGAAGATCTCGTACAGCGTTGTGTACTACTCCCTTCACAGAACAGCGCAAACTGGCTCTAACCAGAATAGAAAGAGGAGTGGGAGGCCCCGGTGCACAACTGAGCAAGAGGACAAATACATTAGAGTGTCTAGTTTGAGAAACAGGCGCCTCACAGGTCCTCAACTGGCAGCTTCATTAAATAGTACCCGCAAAACACCAGTCTCAACGTCAACAGTGAAGACGCGACTCCGGGATGCTGACCTTCTATGCAGAGTTTCAAAGAAAAAGCCATATCTCAGACTGCCCATCTTAATCTTTTATTTTTATTGGCCAGTCTGAGATATGGCTTTTTCTTTGCAACTCTGCCTAGAAGGTAGGGGTGGGCGGTATACTGGTATGAATGTGAATACCGATATGACGTTGTGCCATGATATGGATTTTGCCATATCGTGCATATCATGCTAAATTAATGCATGAAATAAGACGATTTTGTTTTGTTCAAGGTTTCTGTCGAGTGATACAGCCTAGTGGGCTAGTTCAAATTGTTTATTTTACTAGAAACATAGCCTTTTTTAGCAAAGAAAAAAATAGAAGCATGGACGTTGCACGCAATCTGCCTGCCAATCAAAGTCAACAAACAAGCAAGCGCAACTGCAGAGTAAGCAAAGCTTTAGTGAGGTAAACTACTTTCGTTAGCAAAAGTGTCCGAAAATCAAGCATTGAGGATGACTGAAGACAAGGAAAATAACGCTATTGAGGTTGATTTGCAGGACGACGGATTTGCAGGACGACGAAGAATTGGTTCGAAAAAAGGGGGCCTCCTCTGTCGTTTGGAACTGGTTTGGCTTTAAGATATCCGACCTCGACCAACAAACAGTACTGTGTAAGTTGTGTCGACGCATTGTGCTAGCCAAAGGTGGAAACACCAGCAATCTTTTTCACCACCTGAAAACCCTGCATGTGCGCGAATATGAAGAATCTACCAGAATGCGTGCAACAAACCCCTGGAGCAGCGGAGCAAGTCACAAGACATCTTCAAGCCAGACCCGCACTCAGCTGTCACTCAAGGCATCATTCGTTAGTGGTACTCCCTATGACAAGAAGAGCAAGAAGTAGAATGAGATAACGAGTGCAATTACGTATCACATAGCGAAAGACATGGAACCAATTCAAACTGTGGAGAAAGACGGTTTCAGAAAGTTGATTCGAACTCTTGATCCAAGATACGAGATCCCGAGCCGTAAATACTTCAGCAAAACATGTCTGCCAGAACTCTACACAGAATGTCGGGACAGAGTTGCCAACGAAATCCGTAACGCTGCATTCTTCTCTACCACTGCCGATTTATGGTCAAGCCGGACCACAGAGCCATACATTACCCTCACGATTCATTACATTGCCGACAACTGGAAGCTGCAAAGCAAATGCCTTCAGACTTCTTATTTCCCAGACGACCACACCGGAGAAATAATTGCAGCTGGGCTGAGGGAGGCACTTTCATCCTGGGGCTTGAAAGAGTCGCGTCAAGTATGTATGACTACCGACAGCGGATCGAACATGGTCAAAGCATTGGAGCTGAACAAATGGACAAGACTAGGGTGTTTCAGACACAGGCTACACATTGCTATTGGTAAGTTTCAATGTCCAAAACACATAGAGCCAGGTAGAAAAATAACCTCACTTAAAAACAACAACATAAAATGCAGAATAACTATTGCATTCCTTATCTCCTCTGTTTAAAGTTAGAGCTGACTACACTGCCTGATCCTTCTTATACATTAAGCAGGATATATACAGCTATGCAAATCTAGAATATTTGTAATTTGTAAATGTTATGAATCTATCCTCTCTCTTTCAATAATAAATAGCCTACTCAATAAATGATACCGTTTTCTAAAGCAACATAGCTCTCTTGATCACAACAGTTGTTTGTAAATCTATAGATGGATTAAATGTGTAATCATGTCCCGTGTCCATGCTGTAAATTATTGTAATTACAGCAGATGCTATGTTATTTCTATTGAATAATTGTGATTCATATGTAATTATTTTTCACCTTTTTATTTTGCAGAGAGGAGTGTCCAAAATGAACCTCGGGTTTCCCGGGCCACAGGAGTGTGCAAGAAAGTGGTCAGCACATTTTCCTATAGTTGGAAGAAGCAGAAGGCCTTGACAAGTGCACAGGATAAACTGAGCCTGCCCCTCCACAAGCTCATCACAAAATCCCCGACAAGGTGGGGATCTCGACTGCAGATGATGGAAAGAGTCCTGGAGCAGGAAAAGGCCATCGCACAAGTCCTGGCAGCAGGCAAAAAACACGGCACCTTGCACCCTCCTGGCAAGACATTAAGGTCTTTGAATCTATCACAGCAGCACTTAAGCCCCTCCAGTATTTCACAGAGACTCTGTCAGGAGAGACATACATGAGTGCCTCTTATCTGAAGCCGGTCCTCCATTTGTTCAAGACGGAAATCAAATGAGGGCGAAGCCAAACTGACCGGAGAGATTTAAGATGAGGGTCCTCAATTCCCTGAATGACAAATACACCGACCCTGAAACAGATGAGCTGCCCACCATGGCTACCTTTCTGGACCCAAGGTTCAAGACCACCTACATGACCACTGACAAGCTGGTGGAGGTGAAGGTGAGAGCTGCCTCCGAGACAGAAGCCCTCCTGGTAGGGAACACAGCCGTGGGAGACTTCTCTTTTGAAGAGGACCAGAGTGAGAGAGAGAAAGAAGCTGCCACTGCACCACAATCAGCAAAAAAGTCCAAGAAGAGCCTTGGGAGCTTCTTTAAGAAAACCAGTAGTGCACCTGCCTTAAGAACCCAGAGACAGGTCATTGAGCAAGAGCTGGACAACTACACTCTAATGATGGCAGCAGACATTGAGGCTGATCCTTTGGAGTGGTGGCGAGTTCACGCATCCAACTTCCCACAATTGAGTTGTCTGACAAATAAATACTTATGCATCCCTGCCACAAGTTCGCCCTCTGAGAGAGCATTTAGCACTGGGGGCAATGTGGTCACATGCCACAGGGCAACATTGAAGCCAGAAACTGTCAATAGGCTGGTGTTCCTGGCATGGAACTTGTGAAGAGGGAGGCAGTGAATTGTTACATGCTGAACTGAGAAACATACAGACTGTCTGGTTAATGCTTGAAGTTAATTTGAAAAGGTTTACAACTTGAATTCATAATGACCGGTGTTATATGAAAAAAGACTGCACTTCTTATATTTGGCAGGAAAAAGTTTACATCCTGAGTACTTTAAATATATTTTTATAAAATATTACTGCATATTTATTTAACTCATATACCTTTATGTTTCATGTTTGCACAGGTTTACCACAGAAGTAAAACAAATACTAATTTAAAAAATGTGCAATGCCCCCTTTCTGTTTCTAAAAGGTTAAAAGCAATATTTAGTCATTTATTAACTTTGAAGGGCTCATAAAATGTTAAAACCATTTTTATTACAGTATATCGTGATATTATATCGTTATCGTCCGGACAGTGGAAAATATCGTGATATTAATTTTTGTTCATATCGCCCACCCCTACTAGAAGGTCAGCATCCCTGAGTCGCCTCTTCACTGTTGACGTTGAGACTGGTGTTTTTACAATTTTCTGACGAGTTTCAGAAGAAAGTTATTTGTTTCTGGCCATTTTGAGCCTGTAATCGAACCCACAATTGCTGATGCTCCAGATACTCAACTAGTCTCAAGAAGGCCAGTTTTATTGCTTCTTTAATCAGCACAACAGTTTTCAGCTGTGCTAACATAATTGCAAAAGGGTTTTCTAATGATCAATTAGCCTTTTAAAATGATAAACTTGGATTAGCAAATACAACATGCCATTGGAACACAGGACTGATGGTTGCTGATAATGGGCCTCTGTACGCCTATGTAGATATTCCATTAAAAATCAGCCGTTTCCAGCTACAATAGCCATTTACAACATTAACAATGTCTACACTGTATTTCTGATCAATTTTATGTTCTTTTAATGGACAAACAAATTGCTTTTCTTTTGAAAACAAGGACATTTCTAAGTGACCCCAAACTTTTGAACGGTAGTGTATATTAGGGTTAGGGTCATGAGCTAGGGTTAGTTTTAGGGTTAGGTTTTGGGGTCAGTGTAAGGGTTAGGGAAAATAGGATTTTGAATGGGACTGAAAAGGTTAGTTATACAATAATGTGTGTGTGTGTGTGTGTGTGTGTGTGTGTGTGTGTGTGTGTGTGTGTGTGTGTGTGTGTGTGTGTGCACTACCTGCATCATCTGCATCAGCATCACCCGACCCAAGTCAAAATCTCCTATACTTGAGATAGCAACCAACCCCATTAGAAGTGAACTAGAGAGATCCAAATCAAGGTAGGCCAATGTTTGTCTGCTTATGTTGGAAGCGAGCTGATTCCTCACACACCAACTTGCAGGGTGTGCCATAAATAATGAACTAATCTAGTGGCCCACTCATTTGGTATTGTAATGTTGGCCAGAGGAGAGGTGGAGGAAGTGTAAAAGAGGAGAAAATGGGGTAAGATACTATGGAACGCCGTTTGGGTCTTTGCGTGTCAAAAAAGATACACGTCAAATAACACAATTCTATTATAGAATGTTGTGTGTGCTGAATTTACATGTGCAAGCCAAGCGCCACCATTATGACCACTGTCAAAGCTGTACAATACTGCATTGGTAATAAGGCATTATTTGTTCAACCGAATGGGAAGGAGCAGGATCAAAAATGTTTGCAAATATATTTGATACAGATGTTATTAGCATCTTCTGGGGTAGCTAGCTAGCTTTAGCGTGGTACCTAGCTAGCACCAATGCAACCAGCCTGAAAACAATGACCAGTAGAAACTGCAGTCATTTTCAATATTCTTAGTAATGATTTAGGAATCCATGTGAGTAAGTATTAGCTAGGTAGCCACTTGTTGTTCTCCTATTGATATAACTAGCTAGCCAGCTACTTAACCCTGTTGCCCAAAACTAACCTTATAAGCATCCAGCTAGCTTCATCTGGCTTGTATGGCTTGGCCTAACTGGGTTATGTGTTGTGAAGCTAGCCACAATATGGATTAGCCACAATAGTGGAATTTGCGTTTCGCCTTAAAAATAAAAGTCCCATCTTTAAAAGCAATGCAGAAGGTTACAATTGGTGGAATCATGCCACATTTAGACAAGATAATGTTAAACAAGGTTGGAGTGTTGGAATGTGGAGCAATGAAATGGAGCATCAGTCTACTCGGTGACACCCACAGAACACAACCATGAAGAGTTTACGCAAATATTAGCGTTGTAGCAGATCTTACTTTGACTGTGGGAAATCACCACCCCAGTCAGCCTTTTGTGCGTATTGACATTCATATTGCACTGTACAGCCTTACCTAATGATTGGGGGAAAATGAAATGGTGTATCAGTCTACTCTGTACCCTATTGCTTTTTTCCCAAAGTCCTCCTCAGAGTTATCAGGCTCCAAAACATCCACGTTGTATTGTTTTTCCTCTGGAATAGTGTTCAACACACATAGTAGGTTAACTGGTACAATACATGTGGCTCAATTCACAGTGGTTTCAGAGTCCTGCAATAAGAGCTATGACGCTAATGTAGACTGATACCCCATGTCATTGATTCATAATCCATAGATAAGGCTGTACCGTAAAATAAGTATGTCCCCAATGCAATTCTAAAGTCTAATAATCCAGTGTGATTTCAACAGGTTTTTGTCAAATTAACATATTATTTTATTTGGTTGAATTTATATAAAACCATTCCAACCTCGTTGAGCATGATCTATTTCATTATGTAATGATTTCACTATTTGTATTCATTTGCATCACTTTCAATTAGATAGTTTTATTTTGAAGGCGAACCGCAAATTCTACTATTGTGGCTAATCCTTATTGTGGCTAGCTTCACATAGGTGGGTCCGACCACCATAAGTCAAATAAGAACTGTTTTATAAATTAGGGGTATTTTAGATGATGACACCTAGCTAGATAGTTAGCTAGCTAACTATATCTACTGAAACAGATTATGTCGTTTTGCTATGTTTTTGGGGAAGAACATTGTTTGCATCCATCAGATAGCTAGCTTTTTTATGACCCGCACTGTCCAGAGCTTGGGGAAGTGTGTCTGTGCTCATGTGACAGCGGCAGGTGCGCGAGACAAAATTTTACCTGCATCCTAGCATACGTATCGGTTAATCGTTGTGACATATGAAATTAGAGTGATAGTGTAATAAATGTGTAATAACTATGTAAAAAATTCATGAACGTTTAAATTATTATGTGAAGTGCAGTCATATTCAGGTCCTGATTGGTCAACAAGCTTATTTGACACGTCAAATAGTGTTATTTGACTCGTCAAATAGTGTTATTAGACGTGTATCTTTTTTGACACGCAAAGACCCAAACAGCGTTCCATAAGATACTGCCAGCATGCTTGACTAACCTTCTGAAGTGCACTCAGAGGGTAAAAGGCACAATACAAGTCATTGAGTCATCTGCAAATATTAGCATTATATTAACATTTCAAATGATTAATTAGACATCCAATGAGTAGGCTATTATTGCAAAATATTTAAAAAAAATTACCCTTCAAGGACACCTTACCAGGAAAGGGCAGGACGTTTTACTATCGATCACCACCACTTTGCTGAAAGACAACCCTTCCAAACAAAGTTTCAGTGTGGCAGTCCTATCCTGAAAGGTTACCGTATGCTGTGGTACTCATCATTTGAGCAGGAGACAAACCAAATAAGGCCAGTTGGTTCTCAGACGCCCTCAGGTCAGTCTGAATTATTAATAAGAGGAAGTGGAAACAAATGTAATTCTTCTCTCCACTTTCTCTCCATTTCTGTGCACAGTATAACTCCCCCTAGAGTCGATGTCCGCCCCCCCCCCCCCCCCCCCCCCCCCCCCCGCAGGAATCAAATAGCATAATACAAAAAATCCCCATCAAAATCTGTCTGCTTAAGCTAGAGATGTTTTTTGCATGGGCTGCGTCTCAATTCACCACATCCGCCAATGGCGGCCTTCCGCATCTGCGGTGGAAGGTGGCCGAGCTACAGCGGTGTTTTCAGACCATGAGACATCTTGAAAATCGGTCTTCTCACGAAAACGTCTGTAGCATCCAAACAGTTCGGGCTACACACTAATATGACACTGTGGAAAGATGAGACTCTCACAAACACGTACATGTCATTCTACTCTAGGACGCCTCACAAGACTCCTCTTCAGGTAGCCGGTACCAGTTAAAAAAATGAATTGAAGTGCTGTATATATGGAAGTAGTTTAGTGCCATTTCTTTATTTTTTTTATGGGTAAAATATATACAGTATATTTAATAATTTCCTGATCTTTCTTATCTCGCTCAGATATAGGACTGACACTTTAAAACAAACGTCCTTTTGATTTCCATGCATTAATCTGTTATTCAATGCGTTTCTATGGGCTAACAGCATTAAGGCCAAATTCAATGTTTCATTAAAATATTTTTTTTATACCTAAAGGGATCCTAAAATTCAAAATCAAATAGCTAAATGATCCTTGGTATGACCATCTTAAAACAATTCCATATGTTAGCTTAGTTGACCCCCCCACATCACACCTGCAAGTCACAATATTATGCTGGTTTACAAAGTGACGTGTAATTCCTGTTGGAATCCAGACAGAGTTAGGATATCCAATAAGAGAACGTTTAAATCACCCGCAGCCTGCATTCAGAATGACTGCCAGGGTAGGGAAGATTTAATACTGAGACTACCTTAAACATCTAAACTGGAACAACCATCTCAGTAACTGGTGCAATAAGTTCAACAGCTGTACTAACAAATGTATGTTATATATCTTTTTGTAGCATAAAATTAATGAACCAATCAATGTACATGCAAAAACACAGATATTAAAACAAATAATTGAAAATCACCACGCAATAGAGCATGCTGGGAAATATGACATATGGTTCTATCTAGATCCCTTCTTGCCTTCCAAAGAATCCATCTTGCCTTCCAAAGAATTATCAAAGAACCATTTCCTCTAAAAACAGTTCTTAGGATGTTAAAGGTTCTAGGTAAAACCCTTTGCCTTACAAAGAACCCTTGTTTTCCAAAATGGGATCTTCAGCTCAAAACGATTCTTGGTAGAACCCTATCCCTCCGCAAATAACCATTTTGGAACCCTTTTTTCTAAGAGTGTAGAGGTAACAAGGGACCATTTAAAAAAGTGGGCAGAGCAGAAATACAATAGTCTATAAAGCTGCCAGCTCAAATCTACAAAACCCTATAAATTCATACAGGTGCGACTCATTATGAGAATTCTTTTCAGACAGGCACTAATGAAGCAATTTAAAACAACAGCACTCGATTTCCTTCACGATACAGGTGAACAAGAGGACAGAATATCACCAAACCAGATGGCCGTGTTTCTGGGCTCTGTCAGACAGACAGCCAGAGACGGGCCCGTAGGCACCTGACAGACAGCCTAGCCCTCAGGAAGGGGTGGAGTAGAGAGAAGGGTTTGCTGCTGTTGTCACAGACCCCTCCCTGGCTGTTGTCAAAGTGTCACTGTCCCCCTCCCACTCACTTCAGGAGCACCATGCCTGCACTGTCATGCCCTACTCAAACAAGCGTGTCACCAGCACTGGCATGCCACCCACTGGAATGCCCTACTGACAGGCACCGTCGTAAAAGAGCTAAAAATGATGCCGTCGCTTTAAATATAGCCCAGAGGCATTCACACATGGCATTGATGCTATACCAGAACATGGACCTTTTGTACAGAAAGGTGCAGTGTGCAGACTGCCCCCTTCCTCAATGTCAAGGGACAATGCCACTCTAGTAGGCTGGAGGACACATGGTCCTAAGTATCTTTTGCTTGGTCACAAATTGAAACTTATTACATACAGTATGTACAATATGTGCAGTTGAAATTATAATCTCAAATTAAAAGGAAAGCTAACCATCAAAACTGAAAATATTAATGTGTTAACTCATTCAGTAATAACCTATGATGTTAGAAACTATAAACAACACATGCCTTGGGTCCATGTACTATACTGTGTGTGTGTGTGTGTGCGTGTGTGTGTGTGCGAGTGTGTGTACAACAATACAACCTTGTGACATGAATGTTCAGAAAAAGAAACATGTGTGGGCACTGGGTATTCTCCATGTTTTCTTTCTCTCAAGTTATATTAGTGCATTTGTGACATTGAAAGAAACCAACGTTTGTGAGGAGATGAGTCGTTCGTTAAAACCACAGCGAGAGTTGCTTGGGGTCTAATTAAACAAATTAAACATGTAATGAGGTATTAAGGCTCCTGAGATGATGTGTGGCGCCTTGGGGTAACAATGTTGTTTCTGAAGTGAACTTTGATGACATCTTCTTCTTCCTCAAGATAAAGAAACATTTAAATCAAGAATAAATTCCATTCCTCATCATAAACATTATCCACATCGTCATGATGTCACGCTCGTTTAAAGATTCGTGGAACCAAGGCGCAGCGTGATAAGCGTACATTTTATTAAGTACTTTACTCACGACAAAACAACAAACAAATGAAACGTGAAGTCCTAGGTTACACAAACAAACCTTAACGGAACAAGATCCCACACTGACTAGTGCCAAACAGGCTGCCTAAGTATGGTTCCCAATCAGAGACAACGAGATACAGCTGCCTCTGATTGGGAACCACCCTGGCCAACATAGATCTAAACGATCTAGCACATCAACATAGAAAATAAAACACAGAAACTACACACCCTGGCTCAACATTTCAGAGTCCCCAGAGCCAGGGCGTGACAGTACCCCACCCCCCCCCCCCCCCCCCCCCCCCCCCCCCCCCCCAAGGCGCGGACTGCGACCGCGCCACACAAACACAACAGGGTAGGGGCCGGGTGGGCATTCCGCCTCGGAGGCGGATCCGGCTCCGGGCGTGACCACCACTTTCTCTCCACCTCCCCGTTGCGCCCCTGATCTGGTCTGGCACCGCTGACTGGAGCTGGACCCGAGGACGGTGATCAAACCGTACAGGCTCCGGACTGGAGCCGCTGGCTGGAGCTGGACTGGACACCGGTGGAGCGGATTGCTCTGGCTCCGGAGTGGATCCGCTGACTGTAGTTGGACCGGACCCCGGTGGAGCGGATTGCTTTGGCTCCGGAGTGGAGCAGCTGACCGGTGCCGGACCAGGCACCGGTGGAACAGGCACGGGCCGTGCCGGACTGGACACACGCACCACTGGCTTGGTGCGGGGAGCAGGAACGGGCCGGACCGGGCTGACGACGCGCACCACTGGCTTGGTGCGGGGAGCAGGAACGGGCCGGACCGGGCTGACGACGCACACCACTGGCTTGGTGCGGGGAGCAGGAACGGGCCGGACCGGGCTGGCGACGCGCACCACTGGCTTGGTGCGGGGAGCAGGAACGGGCCGGACCGGGCTGGCGACGCGCACCACTGGCTTGGTGCGAGGGGCAGGAACAGGCCGGACCGGGCTGGCGACGCGCACCACTGGCTTGGTGCGAGGGGCAGGAACAGGCCGGACCGGGCTGGCGACGCGCACCACTGGCTTGGTGCGGGGAGCAGGAACGGGCCGGACCGGGCTGACGATGCGCACCACTGGCTTGGTGCGGGGAGCCGGAACTGGCCGGGCCGGACTGTGGAGGCGGACTGGAGGTCTGGAGCGGAGAGCTGACACAACCCGTCCTGGCTGAATGCCTACTTCCACACAATACGTGTGAGGCATCAGCACAGGACGTACGGGGCTGTGCACTCGTACTGGCGCTACAGCACGTGGCACTGGCGCAGGATACACGGGACCGAGGAGGCGTACTGGAGTCCACGAGCGTTGACCCGGCACACCCCGTCCTGGCTGAATGCCCATCTTTGCACGACACGTGCGTGGTGCTAGCACAGGACGTACAGGACTGTGCCGGAACACTCGCGGCACAGTACGTAGCTCCGCATAACACGGACCTTGCCCAGTCATACGCTTCCTAGCCTGAGTACAGGGAGTTGGCTCTGCTCTAACCCTAGGCTCCGCCAACCACATTTTAGCCCCCCCCCCCAAAAAAAATATTGGGGCTGTCTCTCGGGCTTCCTCCTCGGCCGGTACCCTCTGCGTTGCCGCTGCTCCTCTCTATAGCGCGCCTCCACAGTCTCCTCCCAAGGACGGCGATCCATTCCGGCCTGAATCTCCTCCCAGGTCCAGGCTGTCTGTTCCTGGACACGCTGCTTGGTCCTCTTTTGGTGGGATCTTCTGTCACGCTCGTTTAAAGATTCGTGGAACCAAGGCACAGCGTGATAAGCGTACATTTTATTAAGTACTTTACTCACGACAAAACAACAAACAAACGAAACGTGAAGTCCTAGGTTACACAAACAAACCTTAACGGAACAAGATCCCACACCGACTAGTGCCAAACAGGCTGCCTAAGTATTGTCCCCAATCAGAGACAACGAGATACAGCTACCTCTGATTGGGAACCACCCTGGCCAACATAGATCTAAACGATCTAGCACATCAACATAGAAAATAAAACACAGAAACTACACACCCTGGCTCAACATTTCAGAGTCCCCAGAGCCAGGGCGTGACAGATGAATATTCTTCTCAAATTTGCACTTTACGGATGGTCTTGTCTGAAATACTTAGGGCCCTTCCTAAATGGTACCCTATGCCCTATATAGTGCACTACTTTTGACCAGGGTCCATAGGGCTCTGGTCAAAAGTAGTGCACAATGTAGGGAATAGGGTGCCATTTGGTACCCAAACCTAGGCTACTGCCGCTTTCATGACTTCCTACTTAGATATCATAGCAAGCATCCCGATCCCAGTCCTTCTCTGCTTTTAGACGGTTATTTAAAAGCTTGCTGCCTGTTCTGAATGCTACTCTCCTCTCCTTCCCTATCCGACAACACAGTAATATCTTTGGCTAATCAAAATGATTAAAACACCACAACCAATTAAACAGTTGGAGCTTTGTTAGAAGGGTTGAAAGATAGATCAGATTATGGCTGCATGGGTGCTAAAAACATTTGATAATGCCATTCAGTCGGGTTCAGTCAACAGAGTAAAGATCCATCCTTTATTCATGACATTCTCATCTAGACTTCTCATCTTTAAAAACACTTTTTCTGAAGTAGAGGTGACACATTGTGTTTATAATTCCCATGACAGCGCGCACACACACACACACAGAGACACACACACACACACACACAAACACACACACACACACATACAAACTCCAATTGAATGTGTCTCAGATAAAGAAGGAGAGTTGTTTTAAGCTAGATTGTGTCCCTGACAATGACTCTCAGCCAGTGAGTCATCTTTGTAACACCAGTTGTGTAGGTTGGTACGGCCACACAGTCCGCCCCTCATTTGCGTCGTACAGAAAGAACGCACATAATTAGGCATGACATCACAGACAGCATTAGGTTAGTGGATAGTGGGAGAGCGCAGAGGACAGTTTCTCCTCACTAATGAGCGGTTTGGTGACAGAAACCAAACAGGGAGAAGGCAAGAATGACACAATTTTAGAATGACAAGACCATAGACCTTAGCAGCCCTGCGTATTGTTTGTAGTAATGTAATTACTGTGTAGGTCAATAAGCCTTTTCCTGCCTGCCGGCCAAAGACGAGAACCAAGAGGAAAAATGTATCATCCAGGACAGAACTCAAAATATGTTGTTAAAATAATCATGGATAATGATGTGTTATCCTTTATTATTTTAATTATTGTGTATTCACTTCATGTGTGGCTTAATTGTGTTTTTTTCCTCTTATAAATCAAAGAAAATAAAAAATAAGCTCCCAAGCTTACTTTGAACTCCCAAGGTTCCAATTGCTATTTTAACTCTAATTTGTTATGAATCACCAAAATAACGTTCTTTAAGACCTAAATTCAATCAGGACCACACAAGATCTGCCTTATAACTTGACTGACATTCAAAGGATTTTCCCATTAAGCCGACATATGCAGCATTTACAGTGAATGCGGTCTTAGCTGAAAAGGTGCATAGCTGAAACGGGGCAATCGGATTAAATCTAGCCCTAAATTTGTTCTGTGTGGTGGAATATCCCGAGAAGCCTAATTTTTTACAACGATATAATGACAATGAAGGGGTTAAACATCACAGAGAAGACTGATATGATAAGTGCCTAGGAATTTCTACGTGTGTTGTTGTCACTTCCCTCCCCCAGAATCCTCCAAATGTTAAACGTGACACAGGAAATCCTACAGGCTTTCTTCCTCATCCACACATCAGAAGATTGTTACGTGTGTCGTTGAATGGCTGTCCAAATCTTCACAAAGCACTATCACCCGCCCCTGTCGTATCTCCCCTCCTCAAACACACACGCGCACACATGCGCACACACACGGGCACACAACTTCCACCTGGCAAAGGGGAACAGAAGTGCCTGATTGGCGGTGGCACATGCTTATTTTCAGCACCCTGGCTTCCTTCGTCTTGTGAATCCAAAAACCCCAGGCATAGTGGTTAAATGTGGACAGTGAGGTGTGGAATACATTATGAGGATTTAGCATGTTGCCACCAACAAAGCCAGGGGGACAATACCTTCCTTTCAATCAATGCTGCCGCTAACCTCTGTGGGCTGGATAGCCTATACATCACAGGAGGCTGGTGGCACCTTTACTGGGGAGGACGGGCTCGCCGTAATGGCTGGAGTGGAATGAATGGAATGGTATTAAATACATCAAAGACATAGTTTCCAGGTGTTTGATGCCATTCCATTTGCTTCCTTCCAGCCATTATTCTGAGCCGTTCTCCCCTCAGCAACCTCCACTGCTATACATCTGGAGAGAGCGCGAGAAAGGTGGGCACAAGCACTGTCCATGGCACAAACTGTTCAACATTTTTTGTGTCATTTTAAAGGTCATTTCCTGCCATTCTAAACATTTTGCCATGTCTTATGTGTGTTCATTGTGTGTTCATGTGATATTTGAGTGACAAACATTACAACAAAATCTATGGGCTAAAACACCTAGCTAAAAAACGTTAGCTGACATGGGCTAGTTGATTATGACACTTCTGACAAGTTATAAATAGCTCTTTAAGGTCTGCAATGACTGACATGACAAGAGGAAAACTGTTGAAGCACTACCCTTTTTCGAAATTGCACCATTCTATTATTACAACTTTCAAGAGTAAGTTGAAAGCCCGACTGAGTTCCTACCGACCGGGAGCGCGCCCCACAATTTGGGAACCACTGGACTAGATGGTGGAGTAGGCCTTGCTCAGTAGGGTCATGCTGTTTTTTTGTATGTTAGTACTTGCACAGTTATAATAATGATATACACTGAGTGTCCAAAACATTAGGAACACCTTCCTAATATTGAGTTGCACCCCCTGTCGCCCTCAGAACAAGCTCAATTCAAGTCTCAATTGTCTCAAGGCTTAAAAACCATTATTTAACCTGTCTCCTACCCTTCATCTACACTGATTGAAGTGGATTTAACAGGTTACATCAATAATGGATCATAGCTTTCACCTGGATTCACCTGGTCAGTCCATGTCATGGAAAGAGCAGGTGTTCCTAATGTTTTGTACACTCACTGTATGTAAGAGAAGTAAGCCAATACAAAAAGAGGCTATATCTAACATTTACACACACTGCATTTGTGTATAACGTTCAACCTGCACTTAAAGCTGTAGAGAGCTTGTGTAATATTTGCCTTTCAGCAGTTTACATATGGGGTGACAAAATCACCAACTAGCTCTCACAGTCTCACGTCAGAATTAGACGTTCATCCATGTTTCTCAAATTTCACATTTCAAAGTTGTTCCAAACTTCAAATTTCTAAATGTTTAAGGTTAAGTTTAGGCATTAACTTAGATTTTTTAAGGTTAGGGTTAAGTTTAGGTATTCATTTTTTATCGCTGGATTTGAATATGCAAACTTTGGCACCAGAGGCAGATAGCAAGCTGTCATGGTCAAAATATATAGACTCAATGGTTGCTAAAATGGGAAGGTTTGCCCATGATAAGGCATTGCTCTGCCTTCTTGACATCTCAGTTAACCAGACAGGTCCTACAGGCCCTAGAATTGTCGCACCTGGACTACTGCCCAGCTGTGTAGTCATGTGTGGCAAAGAAGGACATAGGTAAATTGGTCTAGAACAAAGCAGCACTATCGCACTTAGATGTACATGGAGGGAAAGTGTCAGAGGTACCAATTTACCTATGTCTGGTACCAAAGGTACCTATGTCTGGTACCAAGGTACCAAACTGTCTGTTCAAGCAGTTAGCACACAGTTCAGACACTCATTGGTACAACACAAGACATGCAACCAGAGGTCTCTTCACAGCCCCCAGGTCCAGAACAGAGGCTAGGAAACGCACAGTATTAAGTAGAGCTCTGACTACATTGAACGCTCTGCCACCCCAGGTAACTCAAGCTAGCAATAAAAACAGTAAAAAACAACAGATAAAAGAACACCTTACTGCACAAAGGTGACTCTGAAGAGACACAGCCTTTTTATATATATTGTATTGTAATTTGCACTGTACTATGAATTAGACCTAGATATTGTGTGTATGTACTGGTATGTAGGCTGTGTGGGACGTTGTGAATGTATGTATTTCAGTCCTTGACTAATGATGATCTATACTATGTATTATGTCATGTTTCATGTGGACCCCAGGAAGAGCAGCTGATGCTTTTGCAGCGGCTAATGGGGATCCTAATAAATACCAAATACCGTTCACAATGCCCTAGCAAAACCGAAAACTACTTGAAGGTAACAGCACTCACTGTTGCTCCTTTTAAAATGTTGATTTTGTTGAAATGTATGCACTCACTAACTGTAAGAGCGTCTGCTAAGTGACTAAAATGTAATGCAAATGTAAATGTAATTTAACTTATATTTATATAAAATAAAACAATGATCTCAACTAGCTAAAACGTCAGCAACTTCCAAGCTTAAATCAACAGCCACATGGCAAACTTACCTCTTACTTGCACCTTCCACTAGGCTGCAGCACCTAAAAAAAAAAAGACACATTTTCAAGAAACAGTCAAGAATTTCAAGACACACTCAGACGATAAAATTACAGGATAAATCATTCAATTAGCAGGATCTCAAACCAAGGTAGCATGCACAAGCAATTAAAGTTATTGTCACACCTGTGACAACCATGCCAATACTGCATTATTTTTCATAAAAAAATAATACAAATGCATCTGGTTTCCAAGCCTACATCTCTATTTGTTAAATGAACTTCCATTGTCCACCAAGAGTGGCTGAAAATCCTCTTCTCTTCAGTTTGATCCTCTATTAATGTGGGAGCGCGAGGTAGCAACAGTGTTCCTCTCCCCAAGTCTCCATCTTTATATTCAGTGAGCTCTCCAATACCCTCGTAGAGCAGGCCATACATCATCACATGGGATATCATTGCTTTAACGCTGCAATATGTCAGCTGTCAGATAGACCTACTCTGTTTTAAAAAAATGATTTGTTATCTGATCAATCTATCTAGCTTCTCTATGAAATGATTTAAGCCTGCTCCCTACTTTACCTCGGAGAGATAAAGGATAGGCTTGAGGCCAAAACTGCTGTTTGTGTATGGAGAGGCATCATGCCCATAGGGGGCACAGATGTGTCGCCTTAGATTTGTCCTGTTTACATATTTCAAAATAATATTAATAATACTTTTTCTTCTCTGTAATACTACTAGCCACCTATCAATTTCATGAAGTTGGCTTTAGCTAGCCCAGAGAGGTTCCCAATCTCCCAACTAGCTATTATAGGCTATCAACAAAGTGACATTTATATTTGCTTTTTAGTAATTTAGCAGAGCATCTTACAGGAGCAATTATGGTTAAGTGCCTTGTTCAAGGGTATATCGACCGATTTTTCACCATTCGGTCACTGGCCCAACGCTCTTAACTGCTAGGTTACCTGCCCGAGTACCTACAAGAGTAGCTAGCAAGAGTAACAAAAGTAGGTAGCTCGTCTAACTATGTTAGCTGGTATGCCTGCTGGCAAGGTTGGTATACTTTAGAAAAGCAAGCAATAGATAAATGTACAGAATAAGACTCACATTTCTTTCAATCTTTTACCCAGATTTTAGCAGAGATGCAGACCTCCGGACCAAAGTTTTTCAATGTTATTCTCCTCACGTGAAAAGTTGGCTTTAACATGTGAACTCCACATTGAATACATATGATTTCACATGTGAACAACTGACCTCACATGTCTGTTTTGTTTTCACATGTGAAGATTTCAGCTCAATTTCAGCTTCATAATGTGAAACTGCAAAATTCACGTTTTTTTAGTAAGGGAAGTAATTAAATGGTATGGGGGTTTTAAGGTAAGTGGTACGCTGTTGAACTAAAATGTGTAATAAAAAAAGGTGTACAAATCTTTAACCAATGACAATATGATTACATTTGACATGATCACTTAGTACTGACTTTTCAATATGACCCTGCCTTGGATTTGGGTTATGGTGATCTTTCTGCTGCACCACAAAGTCTGTAGCATTCTCAGAAGTCCCCTACACATTCATTACCTATAATACATCTCTGCACTATTTTAGTTATCAGTTAATCTGACTATTCTCTCATTGTTTATTTAATTTACTTATCTCAGTAATTTGAGAATTTTCTGTATAGTTGTCTAATGTTGGTGGGGCATATTATTCTGTTTTAATGTACTCCTGAATCACTATGATAAATATAAACAGTTTTTCTTGAGTGTATCATACAAAGCTGAGATTTACTATGAAGTCCAAAGTGTGGGAATACAGGAGAAATCTGTTATTGACACAGACATGGTGGCGTAGCAGGAAGATCGGAATGCCCTTAACCAAGAAGTTGTTCAAATCCCAGGTGAGGAAATGCTGAATAATAATTACTGTATAAAAACACTGCAGCTATTTCGTGACATTCTGTGGACATCCCAACGACTTTTTGTTTGCAGGGCATCATGGGAAAATGTTAATCCATGTGTGAAAGGTTGTGATCACGTGAAAATCCATATGTGAAACTCATGCATGTGCAAAACATGGTTTTGTCATGTGTTTTTTCCATAAGGAAATAAGGGAGTACAATGGAGAGAGGGAGGAAGGGGTAAGGAGATTATTTGAGTGGACAGCCTAAATGAGGTGAAAATTATTTATCTTCATGTTCCTATACAGTAAATGACATGGGTCTACAGCTTTCAAGGGGGCTTCAGTGGGCCTATTTGGCAAATTATTGCTTTTATTTAACCATATCACAGCTTCACAGATATACATTTTCCTGCTCCCTGCAGTTGGTGTGTACCCTTGGACATACATCGAGGACCATGTCTAACTTTCTCTCAGGAGGAAAAACAAAAGTGAAGAGATTAGAGCCGTTAAGTGTGCAGTGACGTAGGATAGTCAATGCGATCGCATGCTGGAGTTTGTACTATTTGCCTATGGAGCCTGAGAGAGCAGGACCGCAAACAAAATATTTCAAATTCTGAAAGCAGTCGGTCCGACTGCAGTGAAGTGGAATCGGAGCTGAAACACCCCAAGAGCTAGAAAGACTGTGGACCGGCACTGAGTTAAGAGGTTAAGAGGATACCCGTGTAGTTTTGTCAAACACATCATATTGCGATTTCTGAAGCTGAGCCACTTCCCTTTTCACTTTTAGGAGCGCAGTGAGCAGCTTTTAATTCATGCTATCTTTTTCCTCGGGGACAGGACTGTGGTGTATGTTGCCTAGCTATTATAAGTTAAATGGTATTTTGGATACCTTAGCATTGAGAAAATAAATATTGGAGCACCTGACCAGTCGCACATCGGAAAAACAATACATGAGAGGACTGTTATGAAGAGATATTTAGAAAGGACATGCAAAGGCTGTCAACGCTTTGAAGTTGGAAACCCGACCGCAATCTCTGACCGAATTTCAATAGGCCCACTGAATTAATTACTGGATACCGCGGACGGAACCTGTGATGTTCGTTTTATTTACATGGAGAACAAGAGTTATTTACATGTAGGCTATTATTAAAACCACGCAAAACGCAGTAACCTGGAAAGTCCATTCACCGGAATATATATATCGGTGTAATACAGACGGAAATAAACTACTACGGATCTACATGATACAACAAATATTTCCGAAGAGACGTTTGAATTTCCTCTGAAATGTACTGACATCGATCAAACCAAAGATATCTCGATAAGATAATGACCGGTAATTTAGAGGCTGCGTTAAGAAATAAATGAACATTTTACGCAAACACTTTATTGGGACTTCAGAGTTGAGAAAATGCATAACGATAAGTAACTGACTGTTGGTGTTTCATGTGTGCAAGATTCATTCCGAAAGTGGTGTGATATCCTCTCTTGTGAGGATTAAGCATCCGTACTCCGGTACCGGAGGCATCTCGTGGTAACCCGGTAGCTGCGGGGGGGCAGGAGTGCAGTTTGGAGATATCAGCAAATAAACGCACAGAAAGATGTGGCTGCGAATTCTTCCCCAGGTATGTCAGGTGCATGCGAGATGCTTTTAAAATGATTGTTGTTAACTGCTATGTTGTAAAAGTTGGGTTTGTTGTCTCAGCTGAGCTTGGGTTTTAGGCTCTCACTGCTTGGGACTTTGATGTGTTATTATTATTATTATTATAATTTTAAAATCAAATCACATGCATCAGTTTACAGAGGTACGATGTATTTAAGGTACATATGTACATGAGGGCAGGGTAAAGTAACTAACTAGGCATCAGGATGGATAATAATGTGAGTAAAATAAGGAACAGAGTAGCAGCAGCAAATGATGAATGTAAAAGTGTGTGTGTGCAGTATGTGTGTGCGAACAATATCTAGTGAATAATATAACTTCAAATGCAGGTTATTTTGGCACTGGAGCTCTACTAACTATTATGATTAAAGGGGATATTGCTAAATATTGTTATATACATTATTTTGTTGATTCATTCACTTGACTTGTATTCAAGAATACCCATTCCAGGATTCTTAAAATAGCCTAATGACAGAGATAACTTGTTGTCACTTAAATCAAAGTTTAGCTATATTCTACAACAACATTCGGATCTTCATTTTAATGTATAGGCTAATAACAACAGATAATACCTTCAGATTATTATTCTCTCTAATCTGAGATCTTGAAACTGAGATATCCCATTCTCTAAACAAGGTTCTGGGCGTACTGCCAAATTGCAGATACTGATAGTGAGGATTCGTTCAATCAGTCACTTGCATGAACACAGAAATTGTTTTATAGAAAAGCACAAACATAAAAATGTCCATCATACCGGATAATAGGGCAATGCATAAACGTAATTACGCGCAGGTAATGCTGAGACACGAAATATTGCAAATATGAAATCAAATCAAATTGTATTTGTCACATGCGCCGAATACAACAGTGAAATGCTTACTTACAAGCCCTTAACCAACAATTCAGTTTTATGAAAATGTTATGAAAATTAAGAGTTAAGAAAAATATATACGAAATAAACTAAAGTACAGAATAAAAGAGCAACAATAAAATAACAATAACGAGGCTATATACAGGGGGTACTGGTACCGAGTCAATGTGTGGGGGTACAGGTTAGTCAAGGTAAATGAGGTAATACAGTTGAAGTCGGAGGTTTACATACACTTAGGTTGGAGTCATTAAAACTTATTTTTCAACCACTCCACAAATTTCTTGTTAACAAACTATAGTTTTGGCAACTCGGTTAGGACATCTACTTTGTGCAAATTTTTCAAACAATTGTTTACAGGCAGATTATTTCACTTATAATTCACTGTATCACAATTCCAGTGGGTCAGAAGTTTACATTAACTAAGTTGACTGTGCCTTTAAACAGCTTGGAAAATTCTAGAAAATGATTTCATGGCTTTAGAAGCTTCTGATAGGCTACTTGACATAATTTGAGTCAATTGGAGGTGTACCTGTGGATGTATATCAAGGCATTCCTTTAAACTCAGTGCTTCTTTGCTTGACATCATGGGAAAATCAAAAGAAATCAGCCAAGACCTCAGAAAAAAAATTGTACACCTCCACAAGTCTGGTTCATCCTTGGGAGCAATTTCCAAATGCCTAAAGGTACCATGTTCATCTGTACAAACAATAGTACGCAAGTATAAACACCATGGGACCACGCAGCCGTCATACCGCTCAGGAAAGAGACGTGTTCTGTCTCCTATGAACGTACTTTGGTGCAAAAAGTGCAAATCAATCCCAGAACAACAGCAAATGACCTTGTGAAGATGCTGGAGGAAACAGGTACAAAAGTATCTATATCCACAGTAAAGCTAGTCCTATATCGACATAACCTGAAAGGCCGCTCAGCAAGGAAGAAGCCACTGCTCCAAAACCGCCATAAAAAAAGCCAGACTATGGTTTGCAACTGCACATGGGGACAAAGATCGTACTTTTTGAAGAAATGTCCTCTGGTCTGATGAAACAAAAATATAAATGTTTGGCCATAATGACCATCGTTATGTTTGGAGGAAAAAGGGGGACGCACGCAAGCCAAAGAACACCATCCCAACCGTGAAGCACGGGGGTGGCAGCATCATGCTGTGGAGGGACTGGTGCACTTCACAAAATAGATGGCATCATGAGGAAGGAAAATTATGTGGATATATTGAAGCAACATCTCAAGACATCAGTCAGGAAGTTAAAGCTTGGTCGCAAATGGGTCTTTCAAATGGACAATGACCCCAAGCATACTTCCAAAGTTGTGGCAAAATGGCATAAGGACAACAAAGTCAAGGTATTGGAGTGGCCATCACAAAGCCCTGACCTCAATCCTATAGAAAATGTGTGGGCAGAACTGAAAACGTGTGTGTGAGCAAGGAGGCCTACATACCTGACTCAGTTACACCAGCTCTGTCTGGAGGAATGGGCCAAAATTCACCCAACTTATTGTGGAAAGCTTGTGGAAGGTTATCCGAAACATTTGACCCAAGTTAAACAATTTAAAGGCAATGCTACCAAATACTAATTGAGTGTATGTAAACTTCTGACCCACTGGGAATGTGATGAAATAAATAAAAGCTGAAAGAAATCATTGTCTCTACTATTATTCTGACATTTTACATTCTTAAAATAAAGTGGTGATCCTAACTGACCTAAAACAGGGAATTTTTACTAGGATGAAATTTCAGGAATTATGAAAAACTGAGTTTAAATGTATTTGGCTAAGGTGTATGTAAACTTCCGACTTCAACTGTACATGTAGGTAGGGGTAAAGTGACTATGCATAGATAATAGATAATAAACAGCGAGTAGCAGCAGCGTAAAAAAGTGTTGGGGGGGGGGGGAGCTTGGCCCCAGTGATGTACTGGGTCATATGCACTACCCTCTGTAGTGCCTTGTGGTCGGAGGCCGAGCAGTTGCCATACCAGGCGGTGATGTAACCAGTCAGGATGCTTTCGATGGTGCAGCTGTATAACTTTTTGAGGATCTGAGGACCCATGCCAAATCTTTTCAGTCTCCTGAGGAGGAATAGGTGTTGTCATGCCCTCTTCACGACTGTCTTGGTGTGTTTGGACCATGATAGTTTGTTGGTGATGTGGATACCAAGGAACTTGAAGCTCTCAACCTGCTCCACTACAGCCCCATCAATGAGAATGGGGGCATGCTCAGCCCTTCTTTTCTTGTTGTCCATGATCATCTCCTTTGTCTTGATCATGTTGAGGGAGAGGTTGTTGTCCTGGCACCACCCTGCCAGGTCTCTGACCTCCTCCCTAAAGGCTGTCACATCGTTGTCGGTGATCAGGCCTACGACCGTTGTGTCGTCGACAAACTTAATGATGGTATTGGAGTTGTGCTTGGCCACGCAGTCATGGGTGAACAGGGAGGACAGGAGGGGACTGAGCACGCACCCCTGAGGGGCCCCCGTGTTGAGGATCAGCATGGCAGATGTGTTGTTGCCTACCCTAACCACATGGGGGCGGCCCGTCAGGATGTCCAGGATCCAGTTGCAGTGGGAGGTGTTTAGTCCCAGGGTCCTTAGCATAGTGATGAGCTTTGAGGGCACTATGGTGTTGAACTCTGAGCTGTAGTCAATGAACAGCATTCTTACGTAGGTTTTCCAATAGAGATTGCGTCATCTGTGGATCTGTTGGGGTGGTATGCAAATTATAGTGGGTCTAGGGTTTCTGGGATGATGGTGTTGATGTGAGCCATGACCAGCCTTTCAAAGCACTTCATGGCTACAGACGTGAGTGATATGGGTCGGTAGTCATTTAGGCAGGTTACCTTGGTGTTCTTGGGCATGGGGACTATGGTGGTCTGCTTGAAACGTAGGTATTACAGACTCAGCCAGGGACAGGTTGAAAATG